CAACATAGGAAACAAATGGAATCCATAAAACAGATGCAAACAGATTTCACATTTATTTTACCTATAATATTTCTATTTTTCATGTTCAGATTACTCTGATCTTAACACCTCATATAGCATTAAAATATAGGCCTTAGACAAGTATTTGAATTATTGTAGAAATATTATGTTTATACTCTTAAAAACATTGTCATTTGTGGACTATTGCTATGCAAAAAATACACTTTAATTTCTATATTTAAACTTTTGCTTTGTAGTTGTAATTTTAACTGTTTCTCTCTCCTTAGGTAATTATGGATGTGATCAACTCTACCAATTATCTGATCAATGCCTCTACTTTAATAAGAAATAGCACTCACTTTCTGTCTCCTGCCTCAAAAATGATCATTGCCCTTCTTTTGCTCATATCATCTATAACTGGTACCATCATCAATGGACTCTACCTATGGGTGCTAAAGTTCAAGATGAAAAGGACTGTTAATACCCTCCTATTCTTTCATCTCATTGTCTCATATTTTATTTTAACATTGATCCTGCCATTTATAGCCGCCTCCTATCTTCAGGATCACTGGAACTTTGGAACTGCCTTGTGCAAGGTTTTCAATAGCACTTTGTCTGTGGGGATGTTTGCCTCAGTTTTCTTCCTCTCTGCCATCAGTCTTGATCGATATCTTCTCACTCTTCATCCAGCATGGTCCCAGCAGCACCGAACCCCACGCTGGGCTTCCAGTATTGTCCTGGGAGTCTGGATCTCTGCCACTGCCCTTGGGGTACCCTATTTGGTTTTCAGGGAAACACATCATGACCATAAAGGAATGGTGACCTGCCAAAATAACTATGCTGTGTCCACTAATTGGGAAAACAAAGAGATGCAAACATTAAGGCAACAGATTCATATAGCCTGTTACATCAGCCGTTTCTTGCTGGGTTTCTTTCTGCCTTTCTTCATCATCATCTTTTGTTACAAAAGAATAGCCAGCAAGATGAAAGAGAGGGGTCTGTTTAAATCCAGGAAGCCCTTCAAAGTTATGATGACTGCCATTGTCTCTTTCTTTGTGTGTTGGATGCCCTACCATGTATACCAGGGCTTAATTCTCACTAAGAACCAGTCGCTACTTTTAGAGTTGAGTCTGATAATGACGGTGGTGACAATTTCTTTCAATAATATCTTTTCTCCCACACTCTATTTATTTGTTGGGGAGAATTACAAAAAGGTTTTCAAGAAATCCATTCTCACTCTGTTTAGGTCAACATTCAATGATGAATTTTCTTCAGAAAGAATATAAAACCTATATTCAGAAGGTTAAATTTAAGTTCTGGACCCTTAAACAAACATGGACTCTATTAATTATATCACTAGAGCTATGCCCTCTATTTTTGTATACTATACACCCTATATTAAAGAGATAGCTAAATTGTACTATGGCTAGATCTATGAATATTGTCTTAGTTACTTTTCTTATTACTGACACAAAATACCTGATACCCAAAGTTAAAGGAGAAATGGTTTATTTGGCTCACAGTTTGTAGAGGTTTCAGTTCATAGTCAGCTGGCTCCTAGGCAGGGTGGCATGGCAGAGGGGCATCGTAGAGGAGAAACAGTTCACAGCAGGCAGAAGACAGCAAAAACAAGCAACCAGCAACAAGTGACAATAGCGGCTTCTTTCTACCCCTTTTATATTCTGTCTAGGCTACCCAGCTTAGGGTGAAGTGCCAAACCAATCAGTGGACTAATTTAGTAATCATACACCCTTAATCCTAGCACCCTTGATCCTAGCATTACACCATGAATCAATCACACACTCTAGATCCAGTCACCTCTGAAAAATCCTCATCTAAGATCACTTGAGGCTTTGTGGGGACATCTAGACACAAGCCATACAAATATTAAAAGGGCTTCAAGGAAACAAGCAACAGGTCATATTGCAAATGTGATTTTTTAAACTTCTAAAATTATGATACAATATATGTAACATAAAATTTGCCATTTTTGCCATTTTTAGAGTATACTTTGTTGGCATTAATTATATTTGTTATGTTGCACAACCATCACCATTATCTAGTTCTAAAATTTTTCATCAATCCAAAGAGAAATTTTGTAGCCATTAAGTAATAACTCCCCATTCCTCTATCCCCATTCCCTAGCAATCTCTAATCTGCTTTCCATACCTATTATTCTCCTATTCAAGATAGTATATACAAGTGAAATCATACAATATTAGTCTTTTGGGGTCTGGCTTATTTCACTTAGCATGATCTTTTCAAGGTTCACACATGTTATAACATATATCAGAACTTTATTTCTTTTTATGTCTAAATTATATTCCATGGCATGTATATGGCACTTTTTAAATCCGTTTATCTGTTGATGGAGACATGGGTCATTTCCACCTTCTGACTATTGTGAATAATGTTACTATGAACATTTTTGTGCAAGTATCAGTTTGAGCTGGGGATTTAGCTCAGGGATTCCACTGCCTGACTTGCAAGCGCAAGGTCCTGAGTTCAATCCCCAGTACCAAAAGAAAAAAAAAAAGCAAATATTGGTTTGAGTTCTCTTTTCAATTATTTTATAGCTAGAATGAAATTATTGTGTCAAATGGTAATTCTATGTTTAATTTTATGATTAAACATGTTACATTCACACCAACAACATACAGAGGTTTCAGTTTCTCCTTATCTTTACCAAAACTTATTGTTTTCCTTTTTAAAATTATTGTCATAAGGGTTGAAGGTAGGGGAGGAGAATGGGAAAAAAATAAGACATATTATACAAGGACAAATTCTCTATGATGAATGTGATCATTATGTATGGCAAATATGGACTAATAAAAAATAAAATTATTGTCATCCTCATATGCTAAAATGGTAGCCATGAGATTCTTAACCTTTAATTTTTAAAGTTAAGAATATCGATTTCTAAATGTCAATAGTATCTATGGATTTAAATTTTCTGTCCCAGAATCTTCTAGCAAACAGACAATATAGCCCTTTATACTTTAATGTTTTAAATATAAAGATATCTTAAGTGTTTTGTAAAATAATTATAGATTAAGCTGTCTCTAAAATACAGAACTAAGACATTTAAAATATTTAAGAATCTGCCTGTAATAGTATATTTACTTTTGTAATAGCAATAACAACAGTAATTTGTCTTCCCGGGTTTTCAAGTTTTGCTTCAAGCTTTTTACAATACATTAAAGCACTAAGTTATATGGGACCACATAGTATTATAAACCTATTCATTTAGTTTTAGTTAGCTTTTGATCCCTGTGACCAAATACGTGATATAAATCAACTTACAATGAAGAAACCAAAACCAAAAAAAAAAAAAAAAAAGAGTTACAGAAAGGAATAGAAATTTGATTCTATGATCAAGTTTTTACAGAAAAAAAAGTAACAATAGTTTGATGCCCTAAAAATCCTAAGTGGCATGGTGTTGAGGCTTAATAGGACAACTGGGGATTCAATCTTTCCCTCTTGAAATATGACCCAAAAAACCCCTTCAGATAGATTAAAAACTTTCATTGTTACTCCTTATTTGAAGTTTTGGAGCTCGAACAGTTTTCTCAGAGGGAGGGTTGTGGTTCTGAATGGCCCTGCAGTGAGAAGAGCTAAGCACATCTTCCCTCCCCATATTCTCCAAGTCCTCCTGACAAACCCACTGAAGTTTTATAATTCAGGTCTAAAGAAGAAAGTTACTGGGTAGAATTTAGGATCCTTTGCAACAAAAACTGTACTTTGGAAATGATGACGGAGAGTGCCTTTTGTCTCCCTCTTCAGACCTGCTACAATAAAACAAACATGCACTGGAATGTGTTGCTTGGGTTGTTTGTTAGGCTTATGGCATCATTCCCTGCAGATGTCTGTTTACACTTATCTTTTTCATGAGGGCTAGTTTCAGGGATCCGTGTGTGTGTGTGTGTGTGTGTGTGTGTGTGTGTGTGTTACTGGAGACTGAACCTAAGACGTTTGCACTGAGCTAAATTCTCAGCTCTTTTAAAAATTTTTAATGTGCTTTGTTCCATCTCTCAGCTCAATTAGACTGTAAACTCCTCCAAGACAGAAAGAAGAGTATTTCTTTTCTATAATATTATATACAATTGATATTCAATAAAAATATTTAATGAAAGTTAAATATGGGAAACCACAATATATAAAACAACTATAACACAATACACTATAATACGCTATATAAATATAAGATATTATTAGACTTTGTTTTAAAAAGAAGTCACTTTATGTGCAAGAAAATAGGGTATAAATTTAAGAAAATTTTTCCCACATGCATTTTTAACCTCCTACGAAATTATGGTTAACTTTTAGAAAATCTACAGGTTGATTTCATCAACCTCCTTGATATTTTGAATTCACGGGACCCAAGAGGTTTATAAACAATTAGTGGCTTTGTTTTATGGAACTGGTGCATGGAGACAGTGTTTTAATATGATGTCTGTATTAGTATCCAATTATATAAACCTGCTTTGTTTTATTAGCATGAAACTGGCTCAGAAAACAGGGGTGATTGGAGATGTTTCATGCTAACCCAAGTTCTTTCCTGAAGGCACAGCTCTTTGTTTTAATGAGATGAGTAGGCATCTATATATACAAAAGTTAGTGTATAAGGTAAGATGGTATATACAATACAAAACTGATTATATATTCCTGAGAAGCTAGGGCCCACACTTAGGTACTACAGTAGTGTATGTACCTGGCACTATGGTAAGAACTGGGGCTACAAGAGTAAATAAGACACAATCTCTGTCCCCAAGAAGCTCAAAATCAAGTGTAGCTGTTTTGAATTTGGCTCTGCTTTATAATCATCTGAAATAATTTTGTTAAATTCCAATATCCAGGCCTTACCTAAATCAATTAAAACCAAAATTTCTAAGGGCAAGACATAGGAATCAGTATGCTTTTTAAACTCTCAGATTAACTCTAAAGTACAACCAAGAAAGAAACCCCTGTTTAATAGAAATGGAAAAGGAGTATAAGGTAATTATAGCACAAAATAGAAAGCCATGTTGGGGATACTAAGGGAATGTCCTTCAACGCAGCCTTTGCCAATCAAAAAGCTTTCCTAGAATAGTAGTTGGCACATAAAGGAGGCTAGTTTAAAAGAGGAAGCGGACTGTGTAAAACCCAGGGAAGAAAAGAGTACAATGCTATAAAGCAGCAGTAATGAAATTTCAGTATGCAAATGAATCACTTAATGATCTTGTTAAAATGCTGGTTCTAATTCAATAAGTCTGGAATAGGGCTGAGATTCTGCATTTTTAACAGGATCTCAGGGGATTCCATTGCTCCTGGTCAAACTCAGCGAAAAGGATAATTGGAACATAAGTATGGGAAGCAGGCTGGTGAAAATGAAATAGAAAGGTCAGCCAGGGCTAGATTCTGACAACCTGTGCTAAGGAATTTAGATGTGAGCCTCAACTTTATCCTGAGGGCATCAGTCACCGAAGGATCTTAAGCCAAAGAGTGATAGAATCAGATTCGCATTTTAGAAAGATCTCTCGGGCTGCTATTATAGAGAGAGGTCATAACTGGAGGTGAATCCAAGTATAGTGGTACATGCCTGTAATCCAGCACTCTGGGAGGCTGAGGCAGGAAGATCCAAAGTTTGAACCCAGCCTGGAGGACTTAACAAGACCCTGTCTCAAAATAAAATTAAATAAATAAATAGAATTGGGGGTGTAGGCTTTGGAGCGAAGGCTCTGAGTTCAGTCTCCAATAACACAAAGAAAAAAAGAGAAGGGGGAAGGAGGGAGGGAAGAGAAGAGAAGGGAAGAGAAAGGAAGGGAAGAGAAGAGAAGGAGGAGGAAAAGGAGAGAGAGAAAGAGAAAGAAGAGAAGAAAAGAGAAAAAGAAATACTGGCGATAAAGGGCTGGATGGAAGCTCAGTGGTAAAGTGTGTGCTTAGCGTGTGCAAGGCCCTGGGTTTAACCCCAGCTCTGTAGTGTCCTATAAATTCTGTTGGCTTTGGAGTAGAAGGAAAGAAGGTTGAGGATGATTCCTGTATCAATTAATGGTTTTTGTTGCAAATAGATTTTATTATGCTATTTTAACCAAAACTAGTTTGTTAACCACTTAACAGTTTACCTCAAGCACCACTCAGGCAGCACGTTTATGTCCTGACTTCCCTAAGCATTTCTTGGGCACATGGCATTTCAACCCGTCAATTCTTGTATTGAATAAATTTGAAAAAAATTGTCATTTTTTATATTTCCTATTATATTTTCTTATAAAAATTAATGAAAAAAATGTCCAATTTTTGGTCGTCCTGT